TAAATTTCGTTGACATCTTAATCACATAGTTGTGTGAATTTGATTTTTTATTTATTAGTTGATTACGATTCTTGTTTGGGCAGATTAAACGTAAGTATTTAAACATATTATTTTGGGTAAATGAAGTATAATTTTTAAAACATAATTTCTTTGTATAAATTAAACAATGAAAACGCGATCCTATAAAACAAAAATATTGCCCACATTCAAACAAAGTGGGGATGTGGGACAAAGTTCAAGTGCTAATGTACTCCCTCTGTCCCATAGAGAAGTTCCTATTACGTTTTATGATGTATGACTGACGATAAAACAACTTAATCCTTGTTCACACTCTATTGACGGAGTATATATTTTCTAGTTTGCTAAGAGCATCTTCAATGCTACAATGTGCACGGTGCACACGTGGCATGAGAAATAGCCACATAAATATTAGTACATAAATTATTTCGCTCCTTATTTGAATAGTTTTATACAGTTTTGGTAAGTTTTTCTCCACAATGTCAAGAAGACTGTCTAGATATTGACATTGCAGTTGACATTGCAGGGAAAAACTTACCAAAATTATATAAATCATTCAAATAAGGAGAGAGATAATTTATTTGCTAATATTTACGTGACTATCATTCATGTCACATATGCATCGTACACATTGTAGCATGAGAGATGCTCTAACATCTGATTTTTCCATCTGTCCAAGTTATTTTATACTATGTACGTTTTAGAAATTTTCTCACTTCTACTTAATTGGTGCCCCCAATAGTCTAATTTTCTAGATCCGCCCCTGTCCATATATTTATTAAGTGAACTATATATGTCTCTTCACGCTCTTACATAAAGGGTATTTCATCATTATATCTTATAGGGTACTTGTGTTTTGATATTTGTAATACTTATAAATTTCAGATAAACAATATCTATATACTTACTTCATTGTTGCAATTCTATCTAAATAAATATAATATTAATAAGACTATAATAAGACTATAATCCATACATGCTTAAACTTATAATAAAAAGGTTAAAGAGTCAAATAGACTCTTGAACTGACTAAAAGTGTTCAATTAGCCCCTTATATAGGAGGTTCTGCCCGTCCATCGGCAATTGGGGCGATTCCAGGTGAAATATTTTGATGAAATTTTTTGAGCATCTTCTCCATTAAGTTTAGTTTACTCATACCAAATTTCAGCTAAAATTCAACCGGGAAGGCAGTCAAATTATTTTTTGAAGATAACTGCGAAGTTAAACAACGCAGTACATTTCGGAAAATCATTTCACTGCCTTTCCGGTTGAATTTTTAGCTGAAATTTGGTATGAGTAAACTAGACTTAATGAAGAAGATGCTTACAAAATTTCATCAAAAAATTCCACCGGGAACCGCCCCAATTAGTAACAGCCGGGCAGAATCTCCTACATAAGGGGCTAATTGAACACTTTAAGTCAGTTCAAGGGTCTATTTGACCCTTTAACCTAATAAAAAAAGAACTATCTTTGCATTGCTTCATCCATTTATCATTTTATCATGTTCATCATTAAGCTCTTCTACTATTTCTTCGAAGGAGAAGGGCAGTTTTCTATAGCAATTACAAAATTCTCATGCACCATTTTTTTAAAATCAGATTCAAGACCGGACCTGTACGGACCAAAACCATACATAGGGGTTAACGATTCTTGTTACCAAAGAATATCGGTAAAAGATTCTTGTTACCAAAGAATCTTGGCAGGGTTTTTTCTTGAATATTACATTTAAATTTAGACAAATATGTGACTAAGATGATTATTCATGTCACTGCACCACTTCCATGTCACAATCAGATGTCACTGCCGCCGTTACGCGTGTCACTATCGCTGCTGCCACGCGTGTCACTGTCGCCGCCGCCACACGTGTCATTGCTGCCGCCGACCGTAGTGACATTGCCACCACTGCCACTGTGACACGTACAATGACACGAACATAGTGACATCCTCCGGCCAAAGACCACCGCCGGCCACAGTGACACATCATAGTGACGCTGCCTGCCGGAATGTACTCCGATCACCACCACATCATCAATCTCCCTCCCCAGCCCCCTCCCAAGCCCATCCACTGCGTAATTGATGTTTAGCTTTCAAACCCCATCCGTAACACCTCAATCGACTAGCTGCCAGATCACCGACCTTACCTCGCCGCCGGTCAACACCACCAGAGAATCCAGCGCCGTCGGTCAACACCACCTCCATTCAGCTTGAGCTCCCAATCGTCACTCCCAACCCTAGCCCCAATCTGTAGCTCACCACCATCGTTGTAACCTGGCCGCCGTCCAACCAATAGCCAACAGCCTTAGGCCCAGGGATGGATTTAGGGGGGCGGGGGGGCGGCCGCCCCCCTTGGACATTCAATTTTTTTTACCATATATGTAATATTTTCATAAAACTTTCATAATTTAATTAGATTCGCCCCCCTTAGCTTTTAATTTTCAAAATTAATATATATAGTCTTACATAATGTAATACTTAATTGGAGATTTAAAAGAAGAAACATCTAAAATAATTCACATAACTTAAACAAATAGACAATAGAGTAACTCGTTATTTAAGATTTAGGATACTTATTATATAGAAATTACTAGTTTTGTAATGTTTAATTATCTTTTTTAGATAACAAGTACTGGATTTCATAAAACATATATCAAACAATATTAAATACCAGACACACTAATTACACAGTTTTTAGATCACGTGAAATGAATCCAAAATATAAATATTTATAGACATTAGATTACATAATTCATTTACTTCTAGCTTTCTAAAAACAATTTATTGCATGGATAATAAACTCTAAATTATTATAGAATTAATAAAAATACTAAAATATAATATGCACCATATATGTGTGTGTGTGTGTGTGGTGCATATTATTCTAAAAATAACAATCTCATACATACTAGTATACTACTATTGTAATATTAAGAAAACTTCTCATGAGTCATGACTCACGAACACCCTCTTTGGTGGACAAAAATTACAATTCAATAACCGATTCATGAGGTTAAACAATGTAGAAGTTATTTAAAATGTATTGGTTGATGTCTTTGTCATCGTCTAAACTGAGAATGTAATAGATTTAAATGTCATTCGGGATGTGCATGTATTAATGTCATTTTTTGAATAGAAATAGTCACATAGCCCTACAGTAGCGAAAAAATTTCGCCCCGCTATACTAACAAAAAAAATTCACACCCTACACTAACGAAAAATTTCGCCCCCTTGACTCAGAATCCTGGATCCGTCTCTACTTAGGCCCCCATCCCCAACCCCAATTTTTGAGCCGCCACCGCTAGCAATCGCCTACGCAGAAGCATGACCACAAGATGGCGGTTTGCAGCTGAAGCAGATCCAATCGAAGCAGATTGGCAGATGAACGGCGGAGACGATGTGGTGACAATTGGAGTCGGCGATGATGCACATACGTCTGGCGGGCGGCGGCACTGCTCAGATGACCGGCGGCTCAGGCGATTGGTGAGGCATCGAAGATGAAAAGCCCAATGTGTGGAGTATCGCGTATGGAGATACGAAGCAGAGAAGAGACGGCTTGGGAAATGGAACGGTCAAAAGAATAAATGGTCACATTTTTGTCAACATCAAATTTAGTCATATTTTTGTATACACAAACTTCACAAGTAATATTGAGGCCATTGTTTGGATGCCATTAAAAGTATATAAAAGTTTTAAATGCACAATTCAGTACTTCACATATAATAATATATAGCTGCAACTTTAGGCTTGTGGCACACAATAAAATAAAGGGGATTTGACTTTCAACCCCACTTTTTGGATGATATTGGACTTTGCATCCCATTTTCAAAAACATTTGACTTTGCACCCTATCATATAAAATTTGTGAAGGAAGATTTGTAAATGGGGTGCAAAGTCAAAGGATTTTGAAGTGAAATGAGGTGCAAAATCCAAATTTTTTTTAAATGGGGTGCAAAGTCTAATTTCATCCAAAAAGTGGGGTGCAAAGTCAAGTTCCCCCTAAAATAAAAGTTACGATACATGTTTTTTGAATACTACTCCGTATTAATCAGTAGTCGGTACTAATATTTTCCTATGTTTAAAAAACCGACCCGACCCGGCCGGGTTGACCCGGAACCCGGTGACCCGGACAAAAAACCAGTTCGGTTTTTTCAAAACCCGGAAATGGTCAAAAACCGGAAAAACTCGGCTGACCCGGGAAAACCCAGTCAAGACTTGGACCCAAGAAACCCGAAAAACCCGGTAAAACCCAGTTTTTGGGTGTTTTTACCAAAAAAAGTAATTTCTTTTTTATTTTTAATGCATTTTTTATATCAATAAAATTGCAATTTCAATACCTTAAAAAGAAAAACTATCTAATATATTTATATATTTATTTAAGAATGAACACCATGCCAAATTATAATATAGATGTACAATAAAAATAAAATATCATTATTTATTTTTATAAGATCAAAATATACATTGAAATATTATAAGAGTGTATTAAATGCTTAATAAGTACTACCTCCGTCCCATTTTATGTGTCTTAGTTTGACTCGGCACGGTTATTAATGAAGTGATTGAAAAAGTAAAAGTTGTGGTTGAGATTTGAGTATAATAAAGTGAAATGGTGTAGACCACATATTTCTTTCCAAAAAAGGAAATGAGACACTTATTTTGGGACAACCCAAAAAGGAAAGTAAGACAAGTAAAATGGGACGGAGGGAGTAGTATTGTAAGTTGATTATTATGAATAATAACTAATTTTTATTATAATTATATATATAATTATATGTTTACTATTATTACATAGACGTATAGTCATTGACCGGTTTTCCGGCGTTGACCGGGTTGACCCACCGGGTCCGGGTTGACCCGTGACCCAGTCATGTGGCCGGGTCACTCTCCGGTCCGGTTTTTACAACATAGATATTTTCTTCCAAATCCTCAACATGTGAAAGAATCTGAACATCATTTCCACATATGTACTTTATACAAAAGGCAACTCACTAAATTACCTTGCATAATAACTATAAGAAATAGGAATGCAATACCTCCATCATTCAACAGTCCATTATTTCCCCAATAAGCCATAGTAAATATTTATTTACGTGTGATATAGAACAAAACACACATTTGACATACCATAGCACAAATCAGAGGGGGTTGGGTTATATAACCTGATAATTTCAGGCTTAAGTCGACCTTCTCTACAAGTTTGAAACTCCTCTAAATTGTGACAAGCACCTCACTCTGGAAAAATCGAAACCCGCCTTTGAAGGATTGTCATCAACGAGAGAGCTTTTATATATTTCTTTGCACTCTTGAATAACCTGTTCGATAAGAAAAGTTACGGTTTTTTGGTTTGAGACAAGTCCAAAAAACATTTGTACACCTCATAGTAACACTCGTAACATACAGTCTCGCGGAGTTTATTCACGTGATATTCATCACTTTTCAGCTAAAAAACAATTCCGGACTAAAACTTATCAGTTTCCAAAATAATAAGGTTCAACTCAATTAGAAAACCGATAGTTCTAAATCCAAATGCTGTGTAGGATAACATAACTGCTTTTTTTTACAAAACATAAATGCTTTATTTATATGTTTGTCATAAGCACTTCCAAGCGCTTCTCCAAAAAAAACGATCCAAGTGATTTTTACTATTAAGAACTACTACGTATTTTTTTGTTTTCCACCAAATTCTTTTTGAACTATATGTACTTCTTTTCTTCTAATACCCATTTCTTGATAAGGGTTGAGCTCATTGAGACCATGTGATGATAGTTTTATAGTATATACAAAAATGCATACCGCTTTGGAAACCTTCCGTGATATACCCTCTCGCAATCCCAGAATCTTCTCAACTACCTCTGGCTGCATTTCAATGAATCACAACATGATCATGTGGCTTCACGCCCCTCAGTTCAATAAATAAACTTGTTTTTTTCTATTTGATCAGATTATTTCTCCATGTCCAAATAGTTGCTTCAATGCTTACAGGACAATCTGGTTGATGCTCCAAAATGTTTGTGTAAACGCGTGTGAAAGAATTGGGGCTCTCCGAAGAAGCAAGCTCTCTTAAATCACCAAGAACCCTTAATCTATTCTTGACTTTCTGCAGTAACCAAATAATACAAAATAAAAAATAAAAACTACAAATCAGTAAAGGCCTAGAAGGACATACCTTGTATCACATTTCAAGTTTAAACACTGAAAGCTAAGCGAGCACAACATTTTTAGAAAAGGCTAGATAAATTATACTGTATATACTTCTAAATTTCTCCCATAAAGCTAGTGGTCAATGTTAAAGTAGGGACTATGCTTACGGAAACAATGATGTACTTCTGGAAGAAAGCCATGAGAACTTTTTCATCTAGCCTCATTCTTTCAATTGTTTCCTCCTTGATGTAATTTTTCTACAATATCATATATGTGAATAATCAGATCATCTAAAGCAATTGCATTATTAAAATAGATAGCCAAAAGCATAGAAGGTAATTCATTCGAGAAATTCTGTTATACTTAGTTACCTGCATCAGCATATGGTCCACATAAACAACTACTGTCTCTTCCAAACAAGCCTCAACAAATCTCCTAAATGATCTTTTCTCAATGTACCTTAGTGCGACATACAGATAATGTCAAATAGCTGTTTAAGTGCATCTATTGATGATAGGAACCCGGACAATAAAGACTAATAATAGAATAATAAAGATTGTGTTAGTTTACAAGTGAGGGTTTTGGGTCTTTTAGTTCTTGAGTTTGGGCCAGCTCTTTAAGATAGGAATACTATAAAGGGGGGGGGGGGAAGGATAGAATAGAGCAGGCTGGAATTATCCAAGGTTTGAGACTTGGAGAGTTGGCACTCTTTAAGTGCCTTTGTATTGTTTCTGTTCAAAGAAGCGGTATACTGTTATTGCATAAACTGTTTCTTCTCATCTCTAGTTCTCAAAAACTCTGTAGATTGGGCGTATCTAACAATTGAGCAACAAGAAACTCTTTATCACTTACTTTGTATTACTTTGAAAGTAACACAATTTTTTCTCTTTAAACATAATGATTCTTGAACCTATCTGCTAGAGCTATTGATATTGAAAACTTACATTTTCACATCATAGAAATAGTCGATAAATGTTGCAACTAGAATATGTGTAACTTTCCCATCCAGCCAATCTGAAACCATGACCCAAATAAACAGGTAAAAAAATCAAAGTAGTGATTGACAACTTCAAAAGGATAATCTGAAAATCTTGTCAAAGTTGGAAACATACAACTTTGATATGAAATATCTTCATCTTGATTCTTAAGTCATATAGTATTACAACAATTTTATGAAAACCCATGACATTGAACTATGTCTTTCCTCTAGTTTTATCAACATCAAAATCAGACAGGGCAGCAAAATCTAGTACGGAGTAATAGATGTCAAACCAGTTTGATAACCATAGGTACTAAGGGAAATGCAATCTAAAAAATTAACTTACCTCCACTCTGATATAGTTTAACAAGTAATTGCTGCACTCCAGGATCTTCAAATATGACATTGGCAGCTTGATGCACGGCTTCCTGGAATTAGTGAAGCTGGTTTACTGACTATCCAAGGGTGACAAAAGAAGATAGGATACTACACATGTAATGCCTCTTTGGAAAATTACTTAAATGCTTAGTTATCATGTTCCATTCAACTATGAGCCACCTATGTTGCGCGGAAACGCGAAAATCATGAGGAAACGGGAAACGAGAAACGGGAAAAAACTATGATGTTCCTAGTTACTTAAATGCTTAGTTATCATGTTCCATTCAAAAAAGTTTTGTATGGAGAGTTTCTATAGAGTTTCCGAAACGGAAACGTACTCCTTCGCGAGAGTTTCCGGGTTACATAGTGTGCCACACATCTTTTAGTTATTAACTCAAAATATATGTTCAAATGTCTGATATATGATGAAAGAGTATCCACGATATTAAAAAAGATGAGATGGTAGTAAAAAAGAACACAAGAAAATTAATGCTGCATTTTGAACTAGGATACACTTGAATTTGTCGACAGAAAAATGTCACATCCAAATGAACAGAATCTAGATAGAGATTTAAGTTAATTATGAATTCTATAATTCACTTTCTTGGCCTTTAGGGAGAAAACGGGAGGCCAGGTACACTAACCTTTGCAACCTCCAGAAATCCTTTGCAAGTATCCTTAAAATTGACCTGTGAAAAAATGCATACCCTTTTATTAAATACAGTGGAAAGTAGTTAGCACTTGGAAAAGGAAATGAAAACAAAAATTTCTGTGAATATTTCAAAGAAATATAATTAGAAGTACATTCCAGTTTCTGTTATGAGTTTATGCACTAATCAGAGAAACATTTACTTGGATCCAACAGTTCAAAAGAACATTATTAACAATCCACTGTCCTAATTCGTAACAAGGAATGACAATGTAATAAAATGTAAATTAATTAAGTCTTGCTCCACTATTACATCAAACCTATATGATGTGCAAATTTTCAGGCAGAAAGTGTGGTGAAATTAAGCTGAGCGAATAACATATAAAATGAACCATCTAGAGGTCATTACAGTTGTCAGTGGATCCTTTCATACAACTGCTTCCTTATTTATTTATGTCAAGTGAGAAGAGGGAAGAAACTGCCATAACCTGCTGAGCATAATTCTTTGGAAGAGCTTCAATGGTGCTAGAACTTAGCTCCTTAGCAAGATCATAACAGAGAAGGTTATTGTTGATCTGTTGCAGAAATAATATGTCAACAATTTATGTGAATGACAAAACTTTATGCACATATCTATTAAATTAACATCTAATAAAATTAACAAACCATTGCACATAATGGTTCCAAACCAACTTCGAATGCAGGTTCTTGTAATCTCTTTCTTTCAGCTCCTTGAAAGTCAATCATTACCTGAAAAACAAAGACTAACTCATGGCTGTAAAAGGTTGTCAAGTAAAAACTTGTTCATAAAATCTGAAAAAGGAAAGAGCTTTTTATTTAGGTGAATTCACTCAAAGCTAAGTAGAAATTCAGAATCATGAATTCTTTTATACCCTCTAGTAAACAATCCATTTTGGTAAAAGAATATACGCCATAAGGATGGAACGAGAAAATAACCCTTAAATTGGGCATTTGGAAAAAGTTCAAATAAACATGATATCTGGTGCATGTTTATGCATGTGATCAGAAATTCATTCTTACATAATAGAGAGCCATCGAACCAAATGAGGTAAACTATCCACCTATACAGAGAGAATAGGTTTGTCAAGTTCAACTTGCCTGATTTATTGCCAAAGCAGTTCTGTAAAGCATGGCATCAGAACAATTGTCTCGCACTATTTTCACTTGCTCTCCTAAGATCCTAAATAGGTCAACAGGAGCAGGTGTGTACAGTTTCCCATCATATGTGTTTTTTGGTGGCTGCACTTTATCCGCCTCAAGAATGTCCAGATACCATTTCTGTGTATTGGAATAAGTTAAGTAACCAACAATTCAATACTCCATAGAAGTACACTATAAATGATTGTTCACTGTAGCAGACCACATGAACAAAATGTGGGCTGCATTCTCTCAACATAAGCATTCATGAGGATTGAGGGGGTCCATTGAACCACTTTCAGAACAAACTTGAGCCAAAGACTCATTAGCTCCAAGTGCAATTAGATTCTCTTGGTACTCTACTACCCAGCCAGTTACCTAATTCCATTAATGATATACATACGGGAGATTTCCCAAAATGGGACTAAATAGATTTTGGAATTCCAAAATAGGACTACTGTGTTTTTCTTCCCGAAATAGGACTAAATACTGTCATCTTTTAGTCATGATTGCCAAATAGTTGCACTACTATGCATTCAACATGGCAGTATTTATTATAATTAATAACAGTATTTTTTAATTGTGACAGTAACGATTCCTATTTCGGGAAGAAAAACAGAGTGGTCCTATTTTGGAATTTAATTTCTAATTTCCAAAGTTGTTTACTCCTATTTGTGACAATTCGCCCTATACATGAGTACCTTTAAGATATCTATGTTTGTCAGATTATTTGCTTGATCACTTAGTTTTCGAAGCCACTGAATGAACCTCTCGGTATAAAGATTTACCATAAGCTGGAAAATTTCGTGTCCCAACATGAAAAATATGTACAGAAAATGATAAAAATGAAAAGCAAAGAAAGGGCCGAAATTTTGATGATGTCAGAATTAGCTTGTTTCTAATGCAATATGAAAAAGTTTTAATAGAGAAATAAAAGTAATCCAATCTTGTAACTGTTAAATTAATCTTAAGCATGGTTTGAAATAGCGGCCCGCTATCGCTATAGCGGTGGCGGTAAAGGCCGCTACCGCTACGGCCCACTATTCGTGTGTGATTTCCAAATCACGGGAAATATCTGCTACGCCGCCCGCTACAGCCCACTACTGACATTTCCGACAGTACATCACGAACTGTTTGATGTGTAAGTGTGTAAATGTTGTGTGAATAATGTGAAAAAATACATTAATGGTGATGCATGGAGTGAAACTCAAAATTAAATGTTGTGTGAATAATGTGAAAAAAATACTTTTATATTTTCCACAATTGAAAATATTTCACGTCGCTGCAACCGCTACAATCGGCTACAGGCCGCTACTGCTACCGCTACCGCTACGGCTATTTAAAATTTTGCTCTTAAGAATTAATAATGTTTGTATGCACAGTTTACTAACCAAATCTTTATCATGGGCATAAGAAATACACAAAAAAGTCAAACTTTAATTTGGAACCTTTCATTTCAGGTACGTAGTACCAGTTACCAGCAGAATGATGATCCAAAAAATAGGTAGCTTTTTTTGTAACCTGCTGGTAGTCAGATTTGATCGATGAAGCCGACTGCAGGAGCTCCGTTAATGGCAGGAGATTGACTACCTCCCGGACCGCTGCCTCCTCCACAACACCGAGATCTTCAGCCATCATCTTCTTACGTTACAATATACTCCAAGAGCAGATCTTGAGCGTGTTGGAAATTTTGCCTATTCCTTAACTGCTCCGAAATTTATATGTGTTGAGGTGGGGCTTATTTGTTAAAAAAATGGCACACGTACCTAACATGCATTTGATTGGTCCAAATCATTATATCCTTTTTAATTTAGATTTAAATAATTCAACTGCAATATTAGTATTGGTCCATGTAGACAAAGGTATGGTACCTTATGAGTACCATAGAATCCCATTGTTAAATGGGTGTACGTGCATAGATTTACCTGGTAGTCCTTGTTTGTCTCCCTTTTATTAGGATCATTTTACTTTTGAACTTCCCAACTTTTGAAATATTTACTCCGTAATTCCGTATGAGTCATTTTACTTTTTAAATCATTTTGTAAATTGGACTAATGGACGATGTTATGAATGTTTTTTTTATCGAATTGAAATTTTATGTTCGCGATGATTTGATCTATTTAAGATTGTGCCGATCTGATTAGGTCAAGTAAACGACTAATGTTCATATATATAATGTCTACTCAATACTTTATTTATGTTTATAAAGGATAATAAGATGCATTAATGTGTAGAAACTCTTCTTGAAAATTAAATGAGATGATGATTTAAATCTCTTAAGTAGTTATAAGTTATACTCTCCCTGTTCTCATAACTTTGTCTCATTCTAATTTTTTCGCCTGTCACAATAAATTTGTTTTATACTCCCTCCGACCATTTGTATGTAGTCAAGTGTGTTAAACTTTGAGCGATTATAAATTTATACACTGTAATATTGAAAATATAAAAATGACATGAAAATGTTTTTTATTAAAAGTAATATCGTAAAAGTATAAATATATTAAGTTTTCACATAAATATATTAGTTAAAATAATGTATCAAAGCTTATCATGTTTGAATGGAAAAATCAAAGATGACTAACTAAAAAAGGACGGAGGTAGTATCATATTTGATAATATTTGGGCAATTGCAAGTCATTTTTACATACTTTATTTACACCTTACAAAATCAATATCAACCATTTAATTCTATTTTTCTTAATAACGGATCGCACTACCCCTCTTATGACAATCTTAGAGGGACGAATCGGAAATGTACGTATATGATTAGACCTATAATGATCCTTCTCTCTAATGTGTTATAAGTAATTGTAAGAATAAATGTAATAATGCTGACTTAATAACAAATATGTCATTTGATGTTTTATTTTTTTTTATCTATTACTGCTAATATAATATAAAGTTGGAGAGTTACAAATTAAAAGAATAACTTCAAAAGTCCTGCCCAAAATTGAGATAAGTTATACATAGTCAGATCTATAATCTAGTAATTAATTTCCTTTCTCATATGTTAATAATAGTAGAAACAAGCATAATAATCCAAATTTAATAAAAAATATTTCTTCTCTTGTGTTCCATCTATATTTTTATATTTATATATAATCTACATATATTTGTATTTATATATAATATAAAGTCATATTATTGTAATAAAGTTTTGGGAGAGATAGAGTTTGCTGACTTTGCTCTTCATTTTTTGGATGATATTTGATTTACACTCTATATATTTCCAAAATCATTAATACATGCTCATATGGATCATGGGTGTACGTATCAGTGTATCAGTCGGGAAAATGGAGAGTAAATGTGTGTTTGTGAGGTTGTTGGTGAATCCGTCAATCCGGCGGAGAGCATTTTTTGTGTGTACGAATTTATTGAGTGTGAAATTCATATGTGCATAAGAGTTTCGATTTTTACTTGCAAGTTATTATAGCGTAATCCCTCTTAATATTGAGAATATTTTACGAAATAGAACTTCTAATCTCAACATTTGATCGTATTCATTCGTTTAGAATAGGCATTGTGTCTTATGTATATTATTCAAAATTTAAATGATGTCTTTATGTAATATAATAAAAATGTCTTGTTTTAAAGAGTTCTTACTAGAATTCAAAATAAAGGATACTTCATTTTTGAGTATTATGTAATTATATATACTTCATTCGTTCCTTTTTAATTGTAACGATTCAGTTTTCCTGTTTGTCAACACACAAATTTGATCATAAATATATTTCACTTCTCACTAGCACAAAAATATAAAATATAATCCAAATTTTGAGAATTTAAAATGAAGGAAATTTGACAATGTTTAGTTTTTCACTCCTTATGTAATACTTCCTCAGTTCTTTTTTAAATACAATAGTGCACTTTTCACGTTTGACAACGTACAAGTTTGACCATTGATATCTTTCATTCGTTATTAATAAAAAATTTAAAAAATAGATATTGAAATTTTAAAATCAGAGGAGTTTAACAATTTTTTATAAATTTAATTTATAATACATTAATAAATAAAATTGAATCAAAGTAGAACATGTGAATAATGGAAAAAGTCCAATGCTCCATTTAAAAAAAGAACGTAGGGAGTACATTAGTAAATAACTAAATAGAATGTCTTTAAGTAGAGCATTGGAATGGTGTAAAAGGTACTTAACTAAAAAAGAATTGACCCAATATACTTCCTTCATTCTCTTTTAAGGTGACAAATCTGCTACCCTTTTAAAAAATGGTGTACCGTACTTACCATGCATTTGATTGGTCCAAATCATTATATCCTTTTTAATTTAGATTTAAATAATTCAACTGCATCATTCTGATTGGTCATGTGGACAAAAATATGGGACCTTATGAGTACGATAAAATCTTTTTTAATTACAATGGTCCAATTTTCACGTTTGTTAACGCACAATGTTGATCATTAATATTTTTCATTCCTTATTAGTAAAAGAGAAATAATTGATTCCTAAAATTTAAAATGAGTGGAATTTAATAATATTTTTTTAAATTTAATTCATAATACAATAATAATTAAAATAGAGTGCAGGTGCATTATAAAGACAACTAAGGTAGTATATAACTCTAATACGTCCTTGGAAATATATTGATACATTACTTCGTAAATTATTAATCATCAAAGATGGCGGCAAAACAAACATCCTTTATGGTCATTCTCGTCAGCTACTCGTTGACTACACTGGCGCTGCTGGGCGGAGCCGCCGCCGCCGCCGGCAGAGGGTCTCCGTCGTACGTCCAAGACTGCATGCGCCAAAAAGACGAGCCGAAGCTGCTGGCTCAGGACGCCATCGCGCTGGGTATCCAAGAAGTCAAAGCCGTCAAGGGGTTCGTCGGCAAGCTGGTCAACCTCAAAAGCCTCCAGTTCCCGGAGAACGCCGTGGGCCTCAGCACCTGCGCCGACGGCGTCGCCGAAAACCTGAGCGAGCTGAACAGCCGCCTCAGCCGGCTCCGCCGGTTGCCGTTGACCGTATCGTACTCTCAGCCGTTGAAGTTCGCGCTCGGTAGAGCCGTGGCTTCGGCTGACGCGTGCCGCGCCGCTATTGGGGACGTGGATGCGGCTTTCGTGGATATGCTGATGAGGAAGCTGAATGACCTGTCGTTGATTCTTGACGACGTCGTACACCGTGTTTCCAAGTTAAATGATGCGACTCAAAATTAAGAGTAAGAAAAAGGGTTTAATAATTATATATTGTTGGGGCGTTTATTCTCACCAAGACTACACATATTGAGATATGCATGTAAGTTTATAATCCATTATGTATTACAAATTTAATGATGATTGATGAATGAAGATATGTGTTTGTGTATACAACTCACCCCAAAGTGGATGAAATAAGCTAGACTGAAATAATGTCAAACAAAAGTATGAAATGGGGTACGAAATTAAATATTGGGACTATCTAGCTCCAATTACTTGAAGTTATATGTTCAGCATAGTCATTTCAGTTCAAAATAGGCTCAAGTCTCTAAAATTCGGTCGATTATTCAACAAACATATATTTATGTTTCACTCAAGTGAGCTTAAGTTGATTTATTGAGTTTGAACCAAAATCTTAAGAAATTAAAGTTAATGTTTTCATTTGATCAACCGGTAGAGCTGATAAAAGAGATTCCTCAATCACCGTGTACCTGTAGATGAGGGCGTGCAAGAAGTGCTACCGCACAAGGCCTCTCGATTTCAGAAAGCCCAAAATTTTAAATATAGTCTATATATACTTCGTATAATATAATAAATCGTTATTTATTTGATTAAAAAATTCCTATCTTAGTACTTCGTTAAATACAATCATTAAATAGTAATATTTATATGTAATTAAAATGCAATTGTTAATTACAATGGTGTAATTCTTTATTTCACAAGGCCTAGTTACAGTAATTAGCCCAAAGCCCTCGTACAGTTTGGAACGAGCTTGTAACTACTTTCATTTTCATACTTTGTCATTACTTTACTTTTCTTAATATATTCTCTTTTCTACTTTTCCATTTACCTTACACCTCTATACTACACCTACTATTTTCTTCTTTAAACCCACAAAAAATCTAAGGAGACTATTATTTAAAACCGGTGGACGTATTAATATAGTGTTTTATACTTGAGGCTTCATATTCAATTTTGCACGGGGCCTTCTACATGTCAGGGCCGGCCCTGCCGTGTACTAAGAGATACTAAAATAACATAAAACAAATCTTTTACCTGTGCGTTGCACGGGACAATGAAATATGTGATAGTTATGACTGTGACTTGTAATTACTTCATCATGCATATAGAAAGTAATACAATAGCAGTTATACAAACATTACACATTTCTCGTGTAGTGTTTAATAGCTAATGAACCATCAAAATAAGTGAAGTCTTGAGATTTTGATCAATCAACTTTAGAGCATTGCATCTGTATGTTTGAGACAAAGATGTCCTACTGATATCGGTTTCTAGGTGATATAGGAAACGCAGTCTCCAAGAAAGGACGCAACTATCAAGTTGAACCAACAAATAGGTAGAAGTGTGAGATCTAATGTCCTGATATAGATATTAATGATTGGAGCTACAAAGATTTTATTTGGTGCAACTCCCACATCATCTTAAGTCAATAAGCTCCAAGTTAACCCGCATCCTTAACATGTCCCTCAATAAATAGAGTGTTACATTATTTCATCTGAACACTTGGTATTTTGAAGTACAAATGCTTCGGTG